AACCTGATTAAAATGGGAAATGGAGTCCATCAGTGCATCGACATCATACGGTCCTGCCCAAAGAGCTCTACGAACAAATACATTTAACATACGGTACACTTATTAGTCAACGGGAGGACGCTGGTGGCTGACTGCAGCTGTTTTAACTAGTAAAAACGCCAAAAGGTTTTCATTAAAAAAATTTAATGGTTTACCTTAACCACAATCTATCTCTGCATTGTGGCCAAGGGTAAAATCCACTCCAGGTAGTGCACTCCAAACCAATTTCTACAAATACTCCTCTTCGTCTTCTTTTGGTTCATTGGCGGGTTTCAGATGTATACCACCCCGGTTCATTGGCGGATTGCAGCTGTATACCACCACCCACTGTATAGGAAACGCAAAGCGTTTCCATATATAGTCAATGGGAGCAACCCTACTCGTATTCAATTCAGCCCCACGAACAAACACACGTGACAGTCTTGAATATAAATAATTTCTAACAGAAACCCACAACCATAAAGCTTTATATGCACATGGATACACCTACATACAATATTAGACTCAAACAAAGATTGTAGATTTGTAGCAAAGTGAAAGGATGTCATCCGGTTCTACCTCCTTAGTCAATCACTTAGTCAATCACAGCCGGCCATCAAAATAGGTGTCTGTCAGTGACGGACTAAGAAGGCCATCAGTACATGACCTGGTTAGTGACTATTAGTACACTTGATGTGGGGGGGGGGGGTCCACTTGCGTCTGCTTTAAGTTTGCAGTCTATCGTCAGCAAAATGGGCGTTCGTCAGTGACGCATTGACATACCTTACGTCAGTATTTACTGAATGTCCGCCTTTGTTGAAATGCAATGGAGAAAAAAAATAATTACATGAGAGAGAGAGAGAGAGAGAGAGAGAGAGAGAGAGAGAGAGAGAGAGAGAGAGAGAGAGAGAGAAAGAATCGCTAATCCATGTGGGTCAAGTATACGGGGTCTACTGTACCATATGTTCTCATTAGGGACGCTGGTGACACTCTGAACTGGTTGCCATTCAATCACAGGACACATCCATCCATCCATTTTCTATAATGTGTGTTGTCATTGAAGTTTAACTGTTAAACTGTAGCTTATCCAAGCTGACCTGTAGCAAGAGAATTGGGGTACACCCTGGACTGGTTGCCAACTCATCGCAGGGCACATATAGCAAACATTTCTTTGTTGCATTTTGCAACAAGAAAACTGTAGTAAAAGAGAACAGATCACTGACATGTAACATAATGTTGATTTTGCCGAGTCATGCGTGGCACCTTTTTTCACTTCCTCTTTTGCAAAATGCTTCAGAGACAAGTCACGTGACACCACAAAAGACCATCTTGTTTCCAGCAAGTTTCTGCTATGCAACTGACTGACATGTCTTCCCTGCCTTTAAATGCCTTCACACACAAAGGGCACACTTAACGGTATATATGTAACAATCAGTATTTTTGTAATATTTTTTTTGTGTGAAATTTTTATTATTATATATTTTCTGCATGTTTGTGCATATTTGTAATAAATTGTACATATACTTTACCGCCACAGTCCTGTTATCTATTCTCTGAGAAGCGGGGTCCACCCCGGACTAGTTGCCAGTCATTGGCAACCACAGTTAACATCCATTTTTTTTTTTTTTTTTTTGCGTATGTGAGTGTAACCCAAAACCGACTGCGACACAAACGTGCTAACCAATAGACCAACATGTTTCCCTAAAATGTACATTTAAAAAGAAAAACAAATCTATTCAATCTCACTAAATTGGACAAAAATGTCTTTTATTGGGAGGGTAACAAACAGGTCCATGTGATTGCACGACGCATTTCAAAATGGATCAAAGTGAGCTACTAGTGGACAAGCACTAAAGGCTATGAAACATACACTAGGTACATGAGTGCTGTACACCTCGCAAAGGCCATAAAAATAGAAGGTCCATCTCAACAGTGTACAGGAAGGAGAAGCTTGTGAGGTCCACACTCACACACACTCACACACACACACTTAGTATCCACAAAACGGAACACGGCGGCCCTGTTGGCACATTGAGTGAACGCTGTTGTCTGGATAGTGACATGGTCGGCCACCGTTTTTTTTCTGCCCTCTTGGTTGGCTGCGGTTGCATGTATCGTGGAACCTCCAAGCATCTAAACTAGGGGTGGGCAAACTGGTTTTGCTCAAAGGTCACATTTAACGTTCCTTTGTGGAAGAAGTTAAAAAAAAAAAAAAAAAAAGGTACAATTTTTAAATGTATTTCATATCTTATCTTTTATTTTAACTACAATAAATTACATAACCTCTAATAAATTAAATTGCAATGAATACATTCAATATTGTTCAATGAATGTAAAATTGTTTACAAATATTGCATTTTATGACTCAAATCAATTAATGAAATAATTGAATCAAAATGACTACACAATATTTGAAATGTTCTATTTTATTAAAACAATTGACTCTTTGTGTGTTATGTCTAATAAATTTATTTACAATATATTAGCTTTAATTTATTTTTGTAAGTGCTTAACAATTGGCTTGCAATGTTATTAAAATGGTGAGTAGTTACACTTTATTTGAGCATACCGTGACTCCACTGTGGCATGGGTATCACTAGTGGTATGCAGGCTCCCTCTAGTGGTAAGAGAAAGCATCACTGAATGAAATCAAACTGCATGTTAGTCTCTTCAAACTTTTTTTTTCCCCAGTACAGCAAATTTGCGTATTAGAGTTTAGTTTGTTTAACTTTCATGTCATACATTCACATTTAATCTTTTAAACATATATTTCGATAATTTATTTAAATGTACGTACAATACATTTTTATTGAATTCAAGCACAGTCAATTTTGCTGTATTTAAGTGTTAATCTTTAAACTGTACATAATGTAACAATGGCTTACAATAATAGTAATTTTTAAAAAATGCTACCGCATCCTAATGTTGGTCGTTTTTATGATACAGTGTCTGACTTGACTTACAAATAATAAGATAATCCTTAAAAGGTTTGACAAGCCTGGAATGAATGAATCCACATTACATTAGTTCCAACGGGAGAAACAAACTGTTGAATTTAAATAAAATTAGAGCAACTTGGAAGCAGAACGTTCGTTCCACTTTGGAGGTTCCACTGTCCCTACCAGAGAGCCACACGCATGCATGGAGGTGTCGGGCGCATGTGTTTCACAGTGGGACGGTTCTGTCCTGGCTTCTTTTTGTGGCATGAAGAGAGGAACAGGAAGGTGGTCTGGGTGGGGGTCTGGGGACTATTTATCACTGGCTTGGCTTCACTCGAGGAGAATATCAAGGGAGAATTGACAGCTGGGCTCCACATCTGCAGTCAAAAGGCAAAAAAAGTATGGCAGCTAAAAACGGGCTTGTTCGACTATAGCTTCTAACATTTTATATGGCGGCCACATGTCTCGCCCGCGTTATCTTTGTGAATGTGGGAGGAGAGATCGAGAACGCCACTGGTACGCCACTCGGGAGGGAGGATCACGGGGAGGCGGCGGCGGACCTCCTGCCGAAGACGTGCTCGAACTCGTTGAGGATGAGCTCCACCGCCTGGTTCTGGAAAACCATGTTCACCGCCATGTTGCCGTTGTCGCACTCGGGCCGCAGCAGCGTGGGCCCGAAGACGATGCCGATGTTCTGCGTTGTCATACGGTTGGCGTCTGAGTGCTCTAAAACGCTGCGGGACATACACAAAAGAGTTAGCAGTTATTAGAATTGGTTTCATCGGTTTGATGAATTGTTAAATTTATTGTCTTACTGTAGTTATCTTTAAAAAAAAATGCAACATTTGCAAATACTTTATTAGTTCATTTTTCATTTCAACATTTTTTTATGTAGTCAAATTCGACTAAAATAGAGACTTTTTATGATTCCCCACTAATGTGCTTTTTTATTGCCATGTTTACAATATCTTGACAGTTCAAACACATCCATTAAATCATCTAAAAATGGTACAATATGAACAAGACACTACTCTACTATTTGTATCACAAAGTTGCACAACGTGTGTGTCATTTCCCACCAAATTCTCCTGACATGTTGTTTTTGAGTAGAATAAATGAGCAAAATATACATTTCATTTTGCATGATTTCCTACTCAACACACGACAGTGAATGCAAGTATCATTTTCACACGCCTTTTAAAAGCAAGGTGTCTCAATTGTCAAAAATGAGCCAAATATGAATTCAGTCATGACAACGCTTTTTACACAATTCCCCCAAAAAATTGCTGACATGTTGAGTGCCATGTTCGTGCTAGTAAACTTTACAGCCCACAGTCACATGAGACTAAATCACCTAAAATTGAAATATTTACAAAATTGTGCTTCACTTTTTTTTAATGATTTCCGACTAAATTGGAGTGCCATCTTTCTGCCTTTTAAAACCTTGACTGACCAGAAATCTTGAAATATATGTCAACTAAATAGTGCTCGGAAGTCAGATACAATATGAAGATTAGAGCATTCAAATTTTGTATGATTTTCAACTAAATTCTGGACATCACAATTGTGATGTCCACACATACAGAATTAAATCTCCTAAAATACATTAAATGTGAACAAAATGAGCACTTCTTCACTTTGTTTGTGTATCATTTATTTCCTCCTAAAATCTTATCGGCTACCATGTTGCTGCAATTTCCAAGCAAGTCAGTCAAAATGTCAACGTTTCCAAGAGATATGAACAAAACAGCACTTAATTTTTTTGTACAATTTCCTACTTAATTCTGCTGAAATGTCTGAGTGCTAGGGTCATGCTAATAACTTTTACAAACTATTTATACACACACACACACACACACACACACACACACACACACACACACACAAAACAGTTAAATGTTTACAAATGAATTCTCCCCCCTTTTGTATGATGTATTAGCAAATTAGAGTGCCATGTCCATGTTACTCCCTTTTACCAGCCAGGTGTCTCAACTGTCTAAAAATGGTCAAATGCATATGCATTAAATTGCCTTATTGCTGATTGTACCATTTAAAACTATATTCACTATATTTGAGTTCCTAATGCTCTCGCCTATTCCAAAATATATTGATGAAAAATAGTTACATATGAACAACTTTTTTTTTTTTTTTTTTATAAGATTTTGTATTCATTTTTGGTGGTGTGGCTAAAATTATCTAAAAAAAAACAGTCAAAAAGGACTAAAACTGTGTTTTTGTTTTTATTTTGGTTTTTTTGGGAGGGGGGGGGCTTGGTTATGATTTTCTTCTAAATTGACGTACTTTGAGTCATATGCACAATGCCATTTATAAGGCTGATGCCAAAATCTTTTTTGCATGAATTTGTATGACATACTGCTTATGTGTTTGCCGATGAGTGGTTAATACATAAGTGCCGTTTACAACCCCGATGTCCACACACACACACACACACACACACAGACGCATGCAAGCATACATAAATAAATTAATTAAAGCATGCTTCACTTTGTGCACCATTTCCTACTTAGGTCCAAGTTCCACTTTCATGTTTTAAGCCTTTTTCAAGTCAGGTGTTGTACAGTAATTGCCTAAAAATATTCAAATGTGAAAAAGTTGTTGACTTTTTGGATGACTTCCAACGAAATTCGAGTGGTGTTTGTGTACCTTTCACAATCCGGATGTCTAAATTGTTGAAATAAAGTCAAACATGGGAATAACTAAAAGACGGCTGACGTGTTGCCTTTGCGTGGCATGTTCATCTAAGTGCCATTTTACAACCCAGATGTCCACACATACGTGTCTAAATCCGTCTGCTTCCACCTATGATAGTGTGCGAACTCCAGCGCGCTATGTTCCAGTTTGCGTGTGTACGGGGACTCAGGAATGAGTCGAGGCCACCGCACGAAGCATTCTTCTAAAAATGCCGTTCCCACCGAGCCGCAGGAGCGGCCAGCAATTGCTCAAAACTTCCACATGAAACAGAGAGGGGAGGGATGGAGGGACACGGAGGAGGGGAGGAGGAGGAGGGGGGAGCGAGGGAGCAGCGGTGGTGGCGGCGGCGGTGCGCCTTCCAGGAGACGAACCGCAAGGCTCCCATGGGACCTTCCCTCTCCGGGAGTAGAAAGGGAACGCAAGGATAGGTCGGCGAGAGGCTGATAAAAGGACGGAGCCCACCCACCCAACATTCCGCCCGTCAGATAGGAGTACAGTGCAGTACTGACAAACACACACATTTTGTGCAATGTTAAAAAAAAAAGGGGGGATCCTCACACAACCCTACTGGATGCTTGACATAAGCGTGCGCACACACCCACACACATTGCAAAAAAACAAACTCAGCTCACACACGCAAAAGTGACATGAGGAGAACTGTGCCCTCTAGTGGCTACATTCCAGTCAAATCATGAAGTTCATCCATCCATCCATCCAGCCATCCATTTTCTAATCGGCTTCTCCTCACAAGGGTCGCGTACTGGAGCGTATCCCAGCTGTCTTCGGGCAGTCTGCGGGGGACACCCTGAACTGGTTGCCAGCCCATCACAGGGCACACACATAGACGAACAACCATCTGTGCTCACACTCACACCTCGGGACAATTTAGAGCGTTCCGTTAACCGGCCATACATGTTTTTGGAATGTGGGAGGAAACCGGAGTACCCGGAGAAAACCCACACAGGCATGGGGAGAGCATGGAAACTCCACACAGGAAGGCCACAGCCGGACTCGAACCCTACACCTCTGCACTGTGAGGCCAGCGTACTAACAAGTCGATCACCATGCTGCCTCATTATTTTAGATTTTAGATTTTTGCCAATCCAAACTATATAGTTAGTTGTACTCAGTTATTGATAAATTATCACTTACGTTTTTTTTTTGCCCTCATTTATTCTTTTTAGTTACTTATTCAAATATTGTCTATATCATTGACATGTTTGTATTGAGTGACTGACTTACATATGGACTGATTTTAAAGTTGTATTGATTTTTTTTAATTAGCCATATTTTGCTTAGTATGGAAAATTTTATTTATGAATGTACATTATTTCCCCAATTTATTTATTTTATTACATATCTATTAGTTTCGTCCGAAAGGCTTTCGTGGCTCCCAGTCAGCTGTACAAGAGATTTAAAAATTTCATCTTAGTGGGGTATAAATCACTGAATGACATTAAAAAAATGCTAATTGAATATGAAGCCAAGAGAGCTCAGAGGTTTGCAGACTCGTGTCAATTAGTGGAGCGCAGACTTCAAAGCAAACATGGTGAAGCAGAATTTAGCTGTTTTGCTGCACATAAAATGTTAAGATGCCAACAGAGGCGAAGTCGGCCCCTCGAGTAAATGCTCTTCAATCCAGGGTAGAGGAGAGCTTTTAAAGCAATTTGTAAAGGCAATTTTTTCCAAAATCTTGTCCTTGAGCTTTATGTTTTTTTTCCCAGTAATTTTAGTAAGCTACTTGTTATTTTTTTACTTTGCTTTTATATGTGTTAACTTCTGATGTTTTTTAATGTATTTTTTTAATTGTGAAGCACATTGAGGATACTTGTGTATGACACGCACTACATAAATAAATCTGCCTTGCCTTACTTAAATGTTTTGTTATTTATACATTTGTAGCAATTAATTTACATTTTATTCAAACATTTTCGCCATTTTTCAAATTTGGCTGGACTGATGTTTTTGAATTTTTCATTTATTTACATAGTTATTGGTTCTACATCTTGACCAAAATTGATTTATTATTCGTTTTTTTTTTAGATTTAATGTAGGTGAAAGACCAGGTGAGACAGAATCGGCTCACAAATACTGGATACAAAACAATACATAGAATAGTTTTACATCGAAAAATGTGCAGGAATTGTGAATGTAATCATTCAAAACAAAGGCACCGACTTCTATTGTCTGTCTTTTAAAATAGAGCAAAAACAATGAAACAATGAAACATGTTCGTTTCCGCTCTGTGTTAGTATTCCCGTACCAAGTTTAGACACTTAAAAGTCTGCACAATCTTTCTTTGTTACCGTTTGAGGTGGCGGCAGATGAATTGCAGCGTGTCGTGGTTGGGCTGAGGCATGCTGTGCACGACGCTCTTCAGACGCTCCACTTTCTCCGCGTAGTCCACCACCTCTGCAACAACATAACACCACCGATAAGTCATTTCTGTTCTCTTGCATTTTAAAAGGAAGTCAAAGCAAACATTTTCTTGACAATAATATGTTCTATGCGGCCCCACTAGTCTGATTAATATTGCGTTCGTGGAAAAGGCGTAAAGCAGCAAAAGCCACCCATTTTTTGTTCATCTTGGAGGTTGGCCACTTTGCCACTTGTCTTCTGAAAATGACATCACAGAGCCTAAAGGGCTCAGCTTGCGGGGGTCACTTGACCAAATCCGGAAAACAAGTGAGCCTTGGGTTGTTACTTGAGCCCGAAGGCATTGTGATGTCACATTTTCATTCGACAGCAAGTGGCAGTGAAAGGCAAAATAGCCACTCCCTAAACTGGAAGGTGGATTTTTCTGCTCACTCCCCAAATGCAATTTTAATCTGACTAAGAGGTGTGCATAGAACATATTTTTGTCAAGAACATTTTTGACTTGACTTTCCCTTTTAGCACTGTTTTACTGCACACATGGCTTAGCACAACTAAGCCATGTGTGCCATCTAGTGGTGAATAGTGATATTATCACTTCAAATTATAGTCAGGTAACAATGAATTCACATATTCAGATTTAATTTTTTTTGTTTTTTGTCACCAACTTTTATTTGAATGTCTATCACTGTTTTTCAAACAGTCTATCTATCTATCTATCTAGATAGATAGATAGATATATAACCAGTTCCTGTCGTGAAATCGAACTCATACAATAAAAAGATGATTGGATGAAGTGTAATGGCCACGCCCACCATGTCCACTTACTGACAGTGTCCATCACATCGCTGAAGAAGCTGTAGGGCACCAGCGGCTCGGGAAGCTCACGGAAGAACAGTTTCAAAGCTCCCGTGATGACATGGATGTCCTCCCACTCGCTCTCGTCCAAGTTGAGCTTCTCCTCTGAGACAGGCAAGAGAGACAGGTGAGAATTTCAAATGGAGAGTTTGATGGCAAACGGCGGCCACCAATGAGGCCCAACATTGAGGCTTGCAGCTGCTGCGGAAACAAGGGGAAAAAAAGATGAGTGAAAGTAAAAGACGGTACGTGGCGACAGGATAAATATCCACACGATTATTTATCAGAGTAGCTGAGCACTTTTTGTTTCCTCCACTAGATGGCAGACTTTACCCACTGCTTGCATGTTCTCACCGCAAATTAAGCAGAGGCCTGAGGGACAAACATACAGTGCTTAACAAATGTATTAGACCCTAACCAGCCAAGAAAAAAACATCCGGCATTATGAAGTGCTTTAATGAGAACTCTAATTTTCAGCATGCTTTCCGCATTGCACTATTTGTTTTCAAAGTAAAATTAGAGCATGATTTAAGATGTCTTAATTGTTATTATTATAAGATAAGATATTATATGATAAGTTTATATTATATAATGTAATATTTTATATATATATACCAGTGTGGGACAAATAAAGGTTATCTTATCTTAAGAAAAAAACCCACTTGTTTCTGAAACACTGTAATCCATTTGTTAAGCACTAAAGACTTGCAGAACAAAGAAAAAAACACTGGAGCAAGTGTGTGAAATGCATATAAGCAGGCGCGGGGCAATGAAAGAAAAAAAAAAGTCCTCATCCATTAAGGTCTACCTTGCACCAACTCTGCTGGGAACATGTAACGGCCATCAGTGGTCACGGCCCGCTCTGTAAGAACCACAAAGTTACTCAGCACGATTACCCCCTTTCGCGATTGGATAAGATCAGAAAATACAACAAAAAGAATCATTACTATAGGATCAAGATTGGGCAGCACAGTGATTGAATGGTTAGCGCATTGGCCTCATAATGCAGAAGTGCAGGGTTCGATTCTGGCTCCGGCCTTCCTATGTGAAGTATGCATGTTCTCCCAGTGCCTGCGTGGGTTTTCTCCAAGTACTCTGGTTTCCTCCCACATTCCAAAAACATGCATGGCAGGTTAATGGAACACGCTAAAATGTCCCTAGGTATGAGTGTGAGCGCGGATGGTTGTTTGTCTATGTGTGCCCTGCAATTGGCCGGCAACCAGTTCAGAGTGTCCCGCACCTACTGCCCAAAGACCTTTGTGAGGATAAACGGATTAGGGAATGGATGGATGGATGAATTAAAATATGCAAGATTTATGTGCAAAACCCCTTATTTAAATGCACGTTGTTTTACGTTCTGTCTTTGTAGTCTTATGAGAAAAGGAAGCATATTTGCTCTTATTAGCTACTGTAAACAATTATAAAAATAATATAAAGCAGTGGTTCTTAACCTTGTTGGAGGTACCGAACCCAACCAGTTCATATGCACATTCACCGAACCCTTGAAAAACAAAAATATGACTTTTTTCCCAAATTCAAGACTTAAAACAACACATTTCTTAAAAAAAACAAAAAAAGTAAATCAGATTTCAAGACATAAGTATTATTTTTTTTAATTTTACGATGTACTATCGCGACAGTCACACGTTGACTACTGAGCAAACTAAATTTCCCGCAGCACTGACTGGACAAGCAATGTAATGTGATCATCTGCAGCCAGTGATGGCCAAGCGGGCGTGTCAAAACGAATTGACATGTTGAGTCGGGTATGTCTTAACCTCCATGGCAGAGACTCCGTCGAACCCCTGAGACCGATTCACCGAACGCCTGGGGTTCAATCAAACGCAGGTTAAGAACCACCCTTGAAGACATTCAATGGAAGCAATACTAACCTTTACCTAAAATAAAGTTCAGAAGTTCCAGTAGGCTTTCCCTCACTTTTTTTATGCTTTCTGGCAAACGCCCAAAGATTTTGTGCTCACAACGACATCGTTTTCAAAACCGTTCATAATTCCCTCCATCTTGTCAAAGGCCCCAGTTCCAGCTGAAAAAAATAACCTTGAGGCAACATCAACATTTTATCTAATTTCTTGGTGAAAAATATATGTTCACTGAGGATTTAAGTCTGAAGAATTACATAAGAGAAATGAAGTGATGTACTGTGAAAAGTCTGTTATCTAGCTAGCTATAGATTCAAAATAAACTGCCCCATTCTGACACATTTAAAAAAAAAAAAAAAAAACAACACCACCAGTAAACCATGTAGCATGTCTACTTTGGAATTTTACTAGCTCACAATGGCCATTATTATGTGACCCAACTTGACTGTCTGTACATCATTGAATCATTCAAGAGCAGAAATTCTCACCATGGTTGACCAAATAGCGTAATTTCTGAATGACTGCAAGGTTGCCGGAAACTCTATAGATGCCGTCAGTATCCAGACCTGCCACAACACAGCACAGCGCACAAATCATTGTACTTTTCTTTGTAGCTGGCATGGGAAACATGAAGGGTTTGTAGTTTTAATCTTACAAACATAGCAAATGCATGGGATGCAAAATCACCAGTCGACAAAATTATGCACTCGAATTGAATGTCGTTGTCATTCACTGAGGCATTAAATATAAGTTAAAGAATTGGGACAATTAGAAGATTGCCCTTTTCTATTAATTTCTGCACTTAGAAATGACGAAAATGGACTTAGCCTACTCTAGTTCTTAGTGGCTGGATTGTCCTTTAAAGTGAGCACACCAGTACATATTCAATTAAAAAGAAAAGAGAAAACAATATCTTTTGGCAGAGGTGATTAGACCTAGCATGTAAGGGACAAAAATCCGAATACGTATTTTCTCCGACACTGTTCTAGGTCTCAGGATGTCATCAAAATTGCCCTGCAGAAAGGCACGTCATCTATATTTCATCTCACAGTAGAAATAAAGAGAAAGCCTCTTTAGTAGACTCGTGGACCGAGGGACTGGTCGGCTACTGCATTTTACCTCTCTTCTCAACAGTCTCGGTGCAAAGCCTGACGAAGCGAGGCACCGTGCTCTTCTCCCGTTCGCACAGCATCTCCAGTCGACAGCCGAACACCTGATCTGATGGGCAGCGACACACGCACGCACGCACACAACTTTCATGACATAAAAGTTTCATAGAAATGTAAATTGTATTTCAACAAAATCTGAAAAACTGTTCCAAGATTAAAGACGAAAGTTTTGTGCTTAAGTTAAATACAACTGAACTGTACTTGAAATTGTAACGTACTGGATTTTTTTTTTAACGCACATTCATTCCAATGTTTTATTCAATTTGAAGACAATTGTCCTGAATGTGATTTTGAAGGGTTGTTGTGTGTGACTGGCTGGCAAGCAGTCCCAGATCATCATCTACGTAGTTTACCATTGATCCTCATTAGAACATACGCGATCAAAAAAAAAAAAAAAAAAAGGAAAATATTTAATGTTTTATTTGTTCATATTATTTGTTGGGGTGCATAAAAGGGTGAATATGTTTTTATTAAGTCAAAATATTGACGCATTTTGGAGAGACATTCATCTCATTGGGCAATTTTTTTTTATTTTTTTATCTGGATCTACATTTTTTTGCCCAAAAAGAAATCAATGAGATAATGTACCTTTAATAAGCCCTTTCTCCTGCAGGGCCTGCAGAGGAGGCCTCTTCAGAATGAGTTTCTTCAGCCTGGTTTTCACCCTCTTCTTCTCAGTGTTCTCCAGGTTGGACGCTGAGCGAGGGACTGCGAGGGGAGGAGAGGATGGGGAGGAAGACAAGGAGCAGGAGGAGGAGAAGAAGGAGGAAGAGGAGGAGGAGGTCAGCGCGGAATGCCCCAGCAGATGTGAGGGTATGGTGGTGAGGATGAAAAGCGGGAGGGCGGGGCGACGCCGCAGGTGCGACGAGGCCGATGGCGGGATGAGCTGCCACGGCGACCAGGCTAAAATGTAAGCGGGCTGGATGGAGGAGAGGATGGAGGAGAGGATGGCGGGGTGTAAGAACCCTGCGTGGAGGTTGAGAGAAAGCAATGATGATGATGATGATGATGATGATCACGAGTCAAGTACAAGTGCACATTTTAGAGTGGCCTTTTATTGTGGGCAGACCAAAACACACCTGTGCAAATTATCATGCTGTTTTATCAGCTTCTTGACATGACACACCTTTGAGGTGGATCGATTATCTCGGCAAAGGGCAAGTGCTTAGTGAGATGTAGATGAAAACATTTGTGAACAAAAAAATGGTCTTGTGTGCATCGAAAAATATCTTCTAATGTGAATTCAGCTCATTGGAACCAAGGCAAAAGCGCTGGATTCATGTTTTTGTTCAGTCAAAGTAAGAAAAAAAATTGGAGGTGGGGGAGGGGGGATACAAGCGTATTTTGGTGTTGAAAGTAAAAACGTTTTAAAAAAGTGAGCGGATGTTCTGTATTTTACTTGCATTTACTTACTTTACTTCAGCGGTGTAGTTATGGATTGTGTGCTGCTCATGCAAGTTAGCAGTGATAACGGAAAGAACGTTGACGTTTTCACTTGACTTGATTGACATAAATTATAGCAGCACCCGGAGTTATTCATAACTCGAATGACAAGTTTTTAAGGATTACAAGCCGTAGGCTCGGCCAGTTTTTTGCTTTTGATCTCCAACCAACAGTTTGAGTTACGAAACTTGGCTGTTGGCAGGAAACTCCACAAAAAGTAGAAGAAAGAGAACAACTTTTCAAAATATGAGCCCCAGTGCTTGCTTCAAGTTGAAGTTGTTTTCGTTTAAAAAAAATGTTTTTTATTTTGCTACTCCCAGTTGAAGTTTACTGTAAAACATCCAACAAAAAGAATTACATGTTGTGTATGTCACCAAAAAACATAACTTGGCCTTATGAAAGCACACTAGCTTAAAGCTACACATAGTGTGAAATGCCATTAATGAGTTAAGGAAACTACATTGACGTTGCAGTGTTAAAATCCCTTAAGTAATGGATGTAGGAACACAAATATTGCAGTAACACATGGAGATAGACAATATAACGATACTTACAGGCATATATTCTTTATCCTCAGCAAAAATGAAGAAGTACGTATGACACAGCTTAGTTGCGAAATCGAATCGATGCATATTATGTCTGCATGTATTACACTGCCCACCTGGTGGCCAAAATGCACATACCAGACAGAGCAGGACAAAGAAGCCTGAAATCATGATGCACAAACTGTCTTTACATTCTATTTTATGATGTTATGATATTGTTATTTTAGTGTAAGTGTTAATTTTAGCATGAAAAATTGGTCGGTGATTTTTTTTTTTAATGGAATGAAATAATGGCATTTCAAAGAGGAAATGATTTGACATACAGTATCACTTGATGTGTTTCTTCAGGTTGGACGAGGGGATTTTGTATGCCAATATTTTTGTTGTTTAAGGTGGGCATAAGAGGCACTTACTACTTTAGGAAGACTCTTTCACACCATTGTGATGAAGATGGTTTGGGGAAATGTACTGGAGCAAAAATATACATTTTATTTAGGAAAGTAGTGGAGTACAAGTGAAAGTGCCAGAAATATCAAGCAAAGATACATAAAGATTCGACATAAGTACAAGAATGCAATTGTACTGTATTTAGAAGACTATGATCAAATGGACGGAGGAGGTGAAGGCAGGGTGAAGAAGCGGCTGGCAGACACCCAAATAAAGGCAAGCGGCGGCACTTACGAGACGATCGCCTGTCGTCCTCGTCACCACTGTGGTCCAGCATCTCCACGCTGCCCGCCCTCCTCAGGGAGTACAGCAGGACATTGTCTAGCGGGTTTTCACGGTCCTGGGAGAACCAGGATAGCATTACCAACAAAACACATTCGAAAAGATTTACAATTACCAGACGGCATGTATTTCCCGCGATTGGCTTGCCACTTTGAAAATGGTCCAAAAGCAGTCAAGTGGACTTAAGAGGATGTGTTTTCCTGTCCCTCACCAGCCTGTCAATGACGTTCTGGATGGTGTGGTACCATTCCTTGATCAGAGAGTCTGTCTCTGACTGCAGCAGAAATTCGTTACCCGTCACTGTCCTCAGCTGGAACACATATGTTTGGAAACACAATGTAGTACTGTGTTTGTGTGTGCGTGTGCGTGTGTGTGTGTGTGTGTGTGTGTGTGTGTGTGTGTGTGTGTGTGTGTGTGTGTGTGTGTGTGTGAGAAGCAGTAGTGTTTATAAGCACTCCCCCTCTTTGTTGCTGACTGTACCTTGAAAACGTTCTTCTTGCTGGACAGCTCATTGGCCCAGTGTAGCTTGGCCCCTCGTAGGTCAACGCTGCTTTCTGGGCGACTGTTTCCTGGTTTCTTAAGTCGTTTAAAAAAAAAAAAAAAAAAATACAATAATAATGAAAACAGACCATATTCTCTATATGACAACATTAACAATACATATTCTGTAGACCGCAGGTGTCAAAGTCAAGGCACAGGGGCCAGATCTGGTCCGCGGCATCATTTTATGTGGCCCGCAAAAGCAAATCAAACATGGCAACTTCCATGATGCTTGCTAAAATATATACCAAAATTTCAAATTCTCAAATGTAATAAATAAGAGAGACATTGTAAGCATTTTCTTGTTGCCAAACACCTCATTACAGTAACTTAGACAATAGTTGAATAAACTGTTATTCTTCACTTCTTCATATGATTTCAGTCATAATGGCTCTCCAATGGAAATGGTAACTAAAATGTGGCCCGCGGCGAAAATGGGTTTGACACCCTTGCTGTAGACAGTATATTTTTTTTTGTTGTTTGGTTTGTATGGAACCATCGACTCCTTTCCGTGTCTAAATCCTGTTGTTGTCTTACTAGAGTTGATGAACAAGAGTACAGCTGCACCTCAAGAACTGTATCTCAAATCATGTTTTCCCATTGAAATGAATGGAAATGCTAGTAATATGTTCCACCAACTCAGTACAATTCTTTTAACACTACTAGAAGTGACTTGGTCAAATGCTGTAATATTTTCATTTTTTTGGAGAGCAGAAATAGCATATGCCTGTGAGTACGGTGACATTATCTGTCTGTTGTTCCACCATTTGTGTTCAAAGAGCTTCTAAAACCACAACTATTGACGCTAACCCTTAGCATGCAGGCTAAATGCAGGCGTTTTGCATTGGCTGCTAGCATTTAACTCAGCGGACTTTAATCGGGGAAGGCTGTGTGATTGTTTTAAACACAGAATTTGTGAATCTCCGTTTTATGTTGAGTGTGACAGTATACTTCAACTGGGAGTGGCAATAAACAGCGAGAGGCCTTCAAGTGAGTTGAGTTCCCTGCCACCATACATTGCTCATATGTCAAGCTTGTGCTCCCAAGTCAAAGCAATTAAAAAATAAAGTGGCCAAATGACAGCTTGTATCCTAAAAAAAAACTGGTCACTCATATCTCAAGGCACATTCACCAAGTCTTTTGCAAGGTCTTACCCAGCTGCAAGGTGTCTGTGATTTTGGATCTTTGAAGAAAACCAAACTGTTTCCAACCAACACCACCCACGATGGACTCCAGTTTTTTCTACAACACAGGTTGTTTTATTTGTTTATTATTATATTTCATTTCAGTTTTTTTTCCTTGAGTGACAGTTAATATTAAAGCAATGAGCAAGATCGCATTTTATTATTTATTTTATTAGACTTGTGCTCATACTGTTATGAGTTTCTAGTGTATGATAACTACTGTAACTACTATAAATCCACTGTCACCTGAGTTTCCGGCCTCCTTCTGCGATCTTGGTCTTGTTCAAGAGGCCAGCTTTCTCCAATTCCTGCAAGGGGACACATGTAAATTTTTTTTTTTTTTTTTTTTTTTTTTAAGTGCTTGGCTACAAATAGTTGTGTCTCTGGAGTGTCTGCCCAACCAGGGCGGTTAAATGGCATAATACAATCCCCACATACAAGATTCTTAGCCTGGGATTTGGTAGGCAGACTGAGGAAAGATCCGTTATTTTCAAAGACAAACACTGAAGCACTATCATGTCAAAGCCAAAAGGTAAGCAGAGCTGCAGAGAGGAGGGGGGGGGCATTGTGTTTGGCTAATGTAATTGTCTGTTGGGTAAATAAATGCAATTTTCTCAGAATAATCAAAATACAGGCAGCAGAGTTGAGTCCTTATCATGTCTGCTACACAGTCAAGAGGTTTCACGTTCAAATATCTTCGGCCTCCCAGTGTGGAGTTCACATGTTCCTCCCATGATCCAAAAACATGCATGTCAGGTAAATTGAAGACTTTAAATTGCCCAAAGGCTTGAATGAGAGTGTGAATGGTTCTTCGTGTATATGTATCCTTCAAATGGCTGGCGAGCAGTCTCAGATTTACTCTGTGTCTCTTACCTAAAAGTCATATAGACTTACAGCTACCCTAGTGACAAATATTTCATCGAAAATGTATGGATGGATGATAAAAATTGATTTATAGCATGGAAGAACTCTTTACATGTATTTAGTTGTACGTGCAGCAATGCGACTACTTTGTAGGTACAATATAAGGAAAACTTTACTTTCAGTGAGTTCACAATGACAGAGGTATCATTTGGGAGTGGGGACAAGCCACAGTACTTCAAAAGTTCCCGCTCCCCCTTTAATGTGCAGAAGAAAAGAAGTCCTTGAAAAATATACTTCAGCACGAGAAGGAATAAACGGGACATTTGATGTGAAAGTAGAAAGGTGACGTGGTTTTTCCCTCACCGGAGTGTCCCCATCGCCGTCTGGAGAGCTCTCGGGAGACGGCGGCTCCACGACGATGTTGGTCACGCTGCACGAGTAGTCTCGGCATGGCCGGACCAGCTGAAAGGAGGCAAGAAATGGTGTCTTGTTGATGTGCAAGTTTGAATACAAAAACATCGGGGTAAAAAGGCCTCGCGAGACGGGGGCTACCTTGCCATTCTCAGGCAGGATCATGGACTGCGAGTGTGAGAGGTGTTGCTTGGCATCATGCGGGGGGGCAGAGTCGTGACACGGTGGGCCGGCGGTGCCGAGCGCCATCGTGCTAATGGTGTCGGAGGATGCCGCGCGCTGCATGCTCTTCACAAACACAGGCAAAGTGCAAAACAAAGCCAATAGACTTGTGTTATTGTGTATTGTGAAAATATTAAAAATCCACAAGTGCCATTAATTTTTTTTTTGGGGGTGGGGGGGTCATTTTGAGTCTTTTTTGAGGGAGAGGAGACGCTGGACTGGTTACCAGTCAAAAACAGGGCACACTTGGGTCAAAAACCATTCACCAAAATTCGGGTCAACTCAAAATTTGACCTTAAGCTTTTCCACTTCATTACACTTTTCACATTAAGCTCTCTGTAGGTTGCCGTACCAAAAGCACAAAAAAAAAAAAAAAAAAAAGGAGCTACAATCACTTACAATCATGCGCATTCAGTCGCACAAGAGAAACTTTCCATGCCAAGGCAGCCATAATTAAGTACCTTTCTCCATCCAGTAACCTACTTTTCTCAACAATCACACCATACATCCCATAAACTTGCAACTCTTCAAGCGAGGGAGATTAAGCAACTCAGAGGAGGCCTTTACAACAGAGACTTTCAACCAAATGCACCCACACCCCACTGTGATGCAACATGTAGCACTAAGACCAGCTTTTTTTTTTTTTTAAACACCATGAGTTGCTATTTCACCACCTTAATATGCATAAATGCTGATCTCCTGGAAACTAAAGCGTGTAGCTGGCATTACTTGAATGCATTCCGCAGGAATACAGTGGAGAAGAGTGTCTGTTGCAAAGCTAATAATAATGAGGGCTCATTGATTTTCATGAGGTGAATTGTCTCCTTAAAAGCCCCCCGTTTCGGTTCTTTCCTCACAGCCACGCAAAGGAAATACAGTGGAGTAGGTATAAGAAGTAGGGCATAGGTGAAAAAAAAAAAAAGAAACAAGCAATTCACAAAGCACTATGTGTTCCCCAGTGTAGAAACATTTAGCATGATTACATAATTAAATAGAATGTAAATCACAGTTTGTGCATCATGATTATTTTACGCTGCAGCTCTATCTGGTATGTGCGCCTAATCCAACAAAGGGGTCGTATAATACAGCCATACGGTTTCCTTCCGCAATGTTCGCTTTTAGACTCCTGATAATAAGTTTTAATTATGGGGAGTGCAAATTTTTATAAGCCAAAATGAAAAACAAGAAAATTCAATATTAAAAAAAACTTGACGTGCTAGAGAAAAACTTTTGAAAACATGTTTAGGGTCACATTATGTGATCTCTAATTAAAATTTGCTGTAGACGAGTGTAATAGAAATAAATATTTATTTGATTTTATCTTTACAGGCAATGTGAAAAAATGTCCCCTTTGTCAAAACGTGTAGGCAATCACAGCCCTTAAACATTTGAAAATGTTCCAACAATTAAACATGAAAAAAATGTGCATGGCTCAGCTGGTGTGTGTGTGTGTGTGTGTGTGTGTGTGTGTGTGTGTGTGTGTGTGTGTGTGTGTGTGTGTATATATGTATGTCTGTTGCCAATTCGATCATGGTGTTTTCGCAAGTAAGGTTGTACGGGTGATTCAAGGCGAACTCAGCAAAAAAAAAACGAAAAACTTAAAGGCATACCTCGGGCCAAAAGTGTACAACATGTGGAAAAAAAATCACAGCTTTTGCAAGATACAAATGAGTATCATCTCTTTGGAAATGTTGAGTGCAACTGACTCAGAGGTTGCCTTGCACCGAGCTCCTTTCTTGTCATATGCAAAACAATGTCAAAATGATTCGGCTCATTTCTGTTCCTTCGTCACTGAAGTCACTCGTAGCTTTTTGGATCAATCGTGGCTGAAGGAGTTGCCAACAAATTGCTAAAATGGAACCACTGACAGTGCTTCGGTCAACTAGCTTCTCTCTGTTTGTCGCTATGTTGTTAGTGTACGCAGTGCACATCAGCAGGGACACACTTTAAAATATGAACTCAACTTAACCGGTAAAAAGTGATTCAATCGACCACCCCTACTGTGGATAAAAAAGGATCCCTGCTCTTGTTTGTGCTGCAGTCATAATAGGAAGTAAAGAACCTTTTCGTGCAGTGACAATTTCAAAAGTCGGAGGAGCCGCTTTTTCTCCCGCTGTGCAGCAAGAACATCTCACAAGCTGGTACAAAGTGTCATCTATTCTTTAATGTGCAAGGTGAAATTCAAGGTGAGACTCATAAAGTTCCCATTTTACCTATGAAAGTTTGGAGAAAGACAAGACTTTCACCTGTTTCATCCACCAGCTGCCGTCTGTGTTCCTCTGGTGGCTTCCAAACAGGAAATCAGGTGAGAGCTACAGGAAGTTTCATTATTAGATGCAATGAAAAAAAAAAAAACAACACAAAAAAAATGTTATGACTCAAACTGGGGAAATACTTGGGCTCGACTGATTAACCAGCTGACCAACTGACATAAGGGGAAAAAGAAAAAAAAATCAGCAAACGTCGTCCAATTATGGCCGACACGTTTTTTAAACATTAACATATTACACCATAAGTAAACGATCAATCCATTCAAACATTCCCCCATAAAAAAAAAAAAAAAAAGGCTCAGGTTTTTTTGCAGCTTTTTCTCGCTATTGTAAAGTTAAAGAAATACTCGAGGACAAAAGTATCGCCATGCAGTCATATGTTCTGCCTTTAGTTCATATCTTTATTGTTGTACGTGTTTAAGGGGCCAAAAAAGAAGATATTTTATTGATTATATATTTTAAATGAATAGATGACTGCACGGTGGTCGATTGGTTGGCACGTCGGCCTCACAGTGCAGAGCTGCAGGGTTCGACTCTGTCGTTCTTATGTGGAGTCTGCATGTTCTCCCCGTGCCTGCGTGGGTTTTGTCTAGGTACTCCCGTTTCCTACCACATTCCAAAAACATGCGTGGCAGGTTTATGGAACACTATAAATTGTCCTCAGGTGTGAGTGTGGATGGTTGTTTGTCTATGTGTGCCCTGCGATTGGCTGGCAACCAGTTCAGGGTGTACGCCGGCAACTGCCCGAAGACAGCTGGCATAGGCTCCTGCATGCCCGCGACCCGTGTGAGGATGAGTGAATTCGAAAATGGATGGATGCATGGATGAAATTAATCGGTTATGTGAATTTTCTTCTGCCAAGTATCGGAACTGGCATTATTCTGAAAAAAATCCATACTAGTTGGACTCGTGTACATGCAGAAGTGCTTCAAGGGGACATATGAAAAACTGACTTTTTAATTGCTTGTATACAAAGAGTGGGGTGCCTGCCCAACAGTTAATAAAAAAATTAAACAACCCGATTAGTCTTCTGCTACCTATCTCTGAAAATCTCTCTGTGACCAACTAATTTGCATAATAACCAACAACACACACACACACACACACACACACACACACACACACACACACACACACACACACACACACACGTGCACACTGTTAGGCCCACTGAAAGGCTCAGAACACAGAGAAACATCCATCCATCCATTTTCAACACCGCTTATCTTGAAAAGGGTCGCGAAGAGAGTTGCTGGAGCTGATTTCAGCTGATTTCAGGCGAAAGGCAGACTACACCCTGAACTGGTCGCCAGCCAATCTCAGGGCACATATAGAGACAAACAACCATTCACAACCACATCCAGACCGTCACTGAGTGGGAATTGATCCCACGCTGCCTGTACACAAGCCAGGCGAGTGCACCACTACACCATCAGCGACATCACGGCCAAAGAGTCGAAATAATTCACTGCTTTTAGTTCCAATGATATCTTAAAGTGTAAAAAGACTTACTGCGAACGTATTCATCACCTACGAGCATTTAAAACCCAAATTCTCATCGAGTTTGCCGCTTGTGGGGCCTTTATGTCGACTTATGTCACGACGATACTTGTCATGCCGCATTTCAAAAAAGGACAAAGTGTTTCGTCTCTCCTTCCTTGCTGGGCTGGTGTACTTCCCCATTGTAGGGGGAAGCTGCTTTTATCAGCACGTACAGCGGCACAAGCAGGAAGGTGCACACTCAACTCTTTTGCTGTGATGCCAGTGACATCGCCACGGCAACCCCAGCCCAACGGCTTGCACGGTGCCAAGTATTGACCTGTGCGGAACTTGATATTTTTTAATTAGTATAATAACACAAACATGGCAGGAGACCTCCCTCAAGTTCCATATGAGACGCAAACAAACATAGTGAGCGAACGTATTGATTTTCAAGTTTCGGCATATCTTTCAGATTTAATACTATATTAAAATCATGGTCTAGTTTCAGTTTTGACTCAGTATTTTTCCTGATTCATCAGTGCTCTCTCTCATCACTCTCCTGCAAAATGGCAAAAATTTGTTCGCCCCTCCAGTTCTCAGTGGATCATTTACCTTCAACCATCTGCTTGCATTTTATTGTAAAGATTAAACGTGACATTCAGAAAGTGAGTTTTCACTATTTTGGCACTCGGCAATCGGTATCTACTACACAAAGAAGCTTTGCAATTATGGAACCAAAGTGTTTTTACTTCACTGCGGCTACAACTACACAAGCTTCGTGGTGGCGACCACTATTTCACCATTTTGATGGCACGATGATGCAATACTTCTCACCGTGAGAAGGCCCTTTCGAAAGCATTAATGACAGAAATTAGAACCTGTTTGTCAAGGGGGAGAAAAAGTAAGACGGAAAACTGTCCAATAAATGCAATTTGGCTCAGCATTACTCAAAATTCTTTGGAATGTTCCAACCAAACCAACGTGGACAAATAACTTCTTTTATGAATTTGTACCTTGACATTATGGAGCCCTATTTGTATAATTTTAAAGAAAAAGTCAATGCTGTTGGTAATATGACATCAAAAATGTGACCAAGAAAAAAAAAAAAAATGAGCCACTTAATTCAAGCTACTAAGGTACAATAGAGCAAACAATACGCAGTAAAATGGGCATATGCATGTGTAGGAATAGACCAACAGTACATTACATACAATATATTAATTCAGTAGAGTGCTCACCTTCATGATGTTACAAAAAAAACATTCGGACTATGAAATATCAGAAAGTCATGTGACAGTACACTGCATTTGGCTGAGCTCCTACGTGGTTGGCGCATTTCCACAATATAAAGCGCCATATATGGGTCAATGCACGTTGCACAACCTTGACAGGGGAATCACCCCTTTGATGAAAATTTTTTTCTCATAGAATGTATTTTTGATGAGCTTTATACTCATTGATACAATACTGACGCAAGGATGATGCAAAGAGAAAATGCGAAACGCTCATTCAAGACAATGAGAATCAGACCTAGGATGATTCGGCATAGAGAAAAAAAACGCTGGTCTGGCATTTAACATTTCAGCCGATGTAAATGATGCAAAATCAACCCCAAAACGCGACATTGTGTGTCGGCCTAGTGTTTAAAAGCTATTGAAAGTGGTGAATGACATCTGCGGGGGTCAGGAGGAGGTCCAAGCGAGATGAGTGATTTAGATGTAGCAATATTTTGGTTTTCAAAATACCCACGGGGTCTATCTAATGGCTTCTGCTGGTCCGCATCTGCTCAAAGAGGCATTACCTCGTCATTCCCTGCGGGGGGTGTGGGGGATTAACCGGCAATGCGTCATGGGGCAGTTAGAGTCAGTCAGCAATGATGGGGCAACTACAGAGATGTAATCCTACTTTTTAATTTAGCCGGGCTCTTAATCCGGTGTGTAGTGCTCGTCCGGAGCCTCTGTGCACTCTGCATGAGCCTGAAAATTACTTTGGAGGCTTGCTAATGTTCATACTTTATCTCACTCTTGCTTTCATTCTAGGCATGTAGAGACCCGGCTATTTGTCTAAGCACACACTGGCGTATGAATTATGCTAATGTCGTTAATAACTCATGATTATTGTGAGGGAGCCTAATTAAAACATTGTTGCAACATTCCGAACAAGCCAATGAGCACACTGTGGACCATTACACCAGTAAAAGTAATTGAGAGGAATTCTTGCATGAGAAAATAAACACAGTAAAGTATCGAAATAACATATAATGAAAACACAGCCTTGTTGAAATGCCACGTTATTGCAATAAAAAAAACTGAGACCAAGATAAATCATTTCAAACCCTTTCCCAGCATTAACATAGCCTACAATTTATACCACCCAACTGAAACAAAAGAAATCTTTTTGAGAGGGGAAGTCAAAATAAACAACTCCAAGATAATGTAGCTGCACACAAGCAGGGCATCTGCGATCCCTTTGGGTGCCCTAAACTGACATCAAATATTTATTACAAAGTAGCTTATATGTCCGCATCATATTTTTACAGGATTCCACAAAAAATGAGTCACTTTGAAAACTTTGCCTGTATGTGAGGCCGGCGAGACTTTGGGGTGCTGTAATGTGATTACCACTCACCTCCCACTTTCGGAGAGATGTATTTGTTATTTCAAGTGAATTATACAGGTTATAGACCACATTATGGGTAGAATTATTTTTTTAATACGATATATCTTGGTCTCATTTTTTTTTTTTTTTACATCAAAAAAATCTGGCGTTTAAACTAGAGTGTGCAGACTGCTCTATGTACAGTGCATCCCTGCGTATTCCTTACTTTGCGCCTCACATATTCACCGATTCACTAACTCATTTTGGGACCTGTTATTCCAAGAAAAACTCACCTATTCGCTATTTGGCTCTTCCTGAAAAGGCCCTAAAATGCCACAAAGGCCACTACCACAGAAATCGAAAGAGAAAAGAAGCAATTGCATCAAAACCAAGTCTCAATTTCTGTCTCATAGAAACATATTCCTACTTTTGGCCTGTGTAATGGGAATATATTTTCTATTTGACTGAGTTTTGGCGCCCTCTTCCTGCATCCTGGTGAGAAGAACTATGATCAAATGAAATCGCAACTTTTGTATGTCAGGGAGGAGGGGGAGGAAAGTCATTGTCGCATGTACACATACTCTTAAGGTGCATTTGTTTTTAAATTCTACACCCACCTGGCAGGTTTTCATGACAACATGACACTACCCACGTCATTCATGTCCATGTTGTTAAACAATCCATTCACAATGGGACGCTTGCAGGAAGCTTACCCTGTGCAATGTACCATTGGCGGTTGCAGGAAGTGGCAGTGTCAGCTGGCTTGTTTCGCTTGGTAATATTTTGTTTTTTGCTGGAGGGACCTGCAAGGGGAAACGACAGTGGGTGAAAATGAGGAAAGAACGCACAGTTCAATATTTTTTCTTTAAAACTTGGATTAACTGGATTTTCTTTAAACACACACCTCGCTACGTGTTGTTCTTTGGCTCAAAATAATCTCACTCGTGCTGATTTTGACGGACTAAGTGAGCATAGAAATGAGACGACTCTTTCATCTTTAAACTCTGACCTTCCTAACATCCCTTTAGGGAGATGTCAATGGATAAAGATCTTAATCTGGAGAAGACTTGTCATGACACACATGTTGAGAATGAACGGCAAACCTGCTTGTTGTTGCCGGTGCCTCCACGGGCTCTCCGAGGAGGCTTCCAGGATCTCTCCTTGGTGATGCTGTTGACATAGTAGCTTCTCAGAGAAGATGGGTCCACATACTGCTCCCACAGGTCCATGACCTGCAGAGGCTGCTGGCCGGGGCTCGGACTGGGGGGCTCCATCCGCGAAGGACGCCTGTCTACTTGCGGTTGAAGGTAGAGCGGTGAGTCCTGCCAGGACAGCTGGGACAAATAGGACTCTGTCGGAACCTGGAGAAAGAAAAAGAGGCGTAACGATAAATGGTTTTTAAATGTGCTGAGATCTCGCACAAGTTAAATGATTTACGCAGGCATACAGATGTGTAGTACATATCAAAATGTAAACGCGGCATGTATTGATCCTGTGACTTTCATGCGAAACTGTGAAGATTGAAGGGCAGAGCAAATAAATCCAACAAGCAGTGCAATAAAACGTCACTGCGGATTAAGACAAGAGGTTACTGGAAGGTCATGAAATGAAGATCTTTTTTTATGAAATCAGACATTGCACGTTGCGGTTTGTATGTCAACCTCACAGCACAACTGCTTTACAGTCAAGAGGTTTTGGGTTACAATCTCGGGTTCTGACTTCCGATGTGGATTTTTGCACAGTTCAACCTGTGGTAGAATGGGCTTTTTCCAGGTACCTTGGATACCCCCCACATTCTGAAAACAAGACCACCGAAGAATCGAAATCAACCAAATTAAATGTGTTTTGTTTTTTTCTTTAGATTGTTTTGCTTTTTGTGACACCAGAAAAGAAGGATTCCACTCATGGCAAAGAGGACAAGCGTGATGGTGAAAGTGTCATGATAACCACAGAACAGGAAATGGAATGACTATTACTTTACTTGTCTTACTGTTAATAATATTGAAATGTTCTTTAAAACATTGCCCGTACAGTTAAAAGTTTCATGATGGTTGCCGTTTCAGCGTGCAAATGTAATGAAAGTCCTTTAAAAACAGCTTCATATGTTGGAAACTATTTGCGGTATTGCAAAAAAAAAACAACCTTTGCAAAGTGTGTAAATTCTCTCCTCCGCTCTAACAAACTGTATTTGTGAGAGAAATTTCAAGGGATAAAGAGCAGCATGTCCTGCTTACTGGGATTAAGCGCACAATGAGTTCAGTTGAAAGGGAGATGGAGAGAGAGAGAGAGAGAGAGAGAGAGAGAGAGAGAGAGAGAGAGAGAGAGAGAGAGAGAGAGAGAGAGAGAATAAATGACTTGCATGGACTCGATGTAATTCTGGGATGCCCTGACGTCATTACTGACATGATTGATTCTCTGTGGGGATTATTAAAGGCGCACACGGTGAATGAAACGCACCCTTAGCTGCCATAGCTAATGAATGTCACACTGGATGGTGAAGAAGAAACAGACTTTCAACCTTTTGCTGTGTACCAGACTATTAATCGAGCAATATTACTTTTAGGATGAAAGACTAGCAGCTGTTTCAGAACAGTTGCGGTGAATCAAAATGTGACATAAGTCGATTCAAGTACCGGTACGCACTATTTTATTGGTGATGGATTCAGAGATAAGACAGAGAAGAGAATTTGGACATTCAAATGTCCTCAAAGTTGTACCATTCCCAAGCCAAGTAAATTCTTTGGGAAAAATTATCTCGAAAGATGACACTACAATTGCGATAAGATATTATTCACTTCAACTATGTTGTAATGAGACACCATTCACTCCAGTCATCATGAGGTATGAATATACGATGTGATGAGATTAGCTCCAATTGCAATAAGACCTCATTTACACTAATTACAATAAGAAACAAATCACTCCAACTATGTTACGGTACCTTTCACTCTTACTTCGATGCAACGTAATCGCAGTCACACCAGAATATGACTCACTCCAATGATGACGCAATGCGATTCCCTCGAATTATGACGCAATTCAATTCACTCCAAATTCAGTCAGACATGAAACCATTCACACGAAATACAGAAAGCACAACATGTTATGATTCACTCTAATTACAATGTCTTGATAAAACTCCAATCATGAGACAATAAGTTTAACTCCTATGACAAGATCATTGAATCTGATTACGATGCTACACAAAAGAATTCACTCCAATCACGGTGTGCGCATTGTCTTTTCCTCCCCCCGACACGCTCACATCCCTACCTGCAAGTGGTTGTTCTTGCCGGAAGATCCCAGCATGTCCCACTGGCTACAGGACTTCTTCGGGAGGGTGTAGTTGACCGGTCTGCTGAAGCTCCCGCCCACCTCGTCATAAGGGTTCTCCACCACATTGTCCGTCAGGTTGCACTGGCTCTGGCTGCGAGTGATCATGGGGACCACCCTACCGTTGCATGCCGCCATTTGTGAGGCGGGTGCATCCCCGGGGACCACAAGGTGGCCTGGCGGGGAGGCAGAAGAGTTGAACGCGAAGGTGGAGAAACGGACGCCACCCAAGTTGCCATCGGTGTCAAGACCTCTGAAGGCACTGTTGGAGCTGAGGTTCTCCATGGAGCGGTAGATGGGTTTACTCGCTGTGATATGAACATTTAAGAGCAACAATGGTTGTCTTATAAGGAAGAAAAAAAAAACACTCGCACTGTGTTTTTTTCTCACTTTACCTTGGTGATGATCGTGATGGGTAACCTCTGTGGGGCTCGGCGTGAGCGCCACTCGGGGCAAGATGCGGACGTTAGAGTTGAGCGCAGCCGAGATGATGAGGCGCTGGGGCGAGGGCATGGGTGCGACAGGAACCTCGGTCACGTATGTGGCAGGCACGTACAGCGGTTTCGTTTTACTTGCGGCCCCTATCCTCCGCACCTGTTACACCACAAACACAAACCCCTATTTAAGCATCTGCTGTGGACACAGATAGTTGGTCTAGTGGATAATGTTACCTACTTGGCCAAACGATTTAATTGATAATATATCTAATATATTATCTGTCATTTTCGAACAAAGAGGCCTTGCCCTCATTTGTGCCTCTGTTATTTTCCAAATTTTTAAATAACTGGAAGAGATGCCGTATGTAACTAGAGCAAGAGGAAGAGGAAGCGCACGCCCCAAACTCATTTCCAGTAATAGTTGTTACCACAGAGCAGAGAGAATTCATAATACATCATCATATGCAATCTAAATGGGAAAAACCCAACACATTTATAAATGTCAGAAACTATCCTTCAATCTTGAGCGAGATAACAGTGCATACCAGCACAAACATAATCTGGTCATGATGAGTCAGCCATTTGACTTTCACTCGATATATTAGCCCTTTAATTACCCACTTGGCAAATCAGTACAGCACATTAAGAAAGCAAATAATTAGTTGAAAGGACCATGATGCAGTTGCTTTTCTCCTAGTTGCCAACAGTTTGGTCGGCCACATTTGTAAAGGAAATACTGTATGTACCTAATTTACAACACATTTTGTTATTGTAGAGCTCAAATAATATAAGAAAACCTTTATTTGTCTCACAATGGAGAAATTCGCAATTTACAGCAGCAACATTTTGAAAGGAAGAAAGTAGAAAAACAAAACGTATTTGCATGCACAAAAATGAATTAAAAAATAAACAGTACACAGTACAGAATGAAATATACAATATAAAACACAATATATATATGTAGATATATATAATAAAGGTGTAATGTTGCACCTTACACAATTGAGATGAAGTTAGAAATACAATACGTAGTACTGTCCAATATTTCCACGTATTGGGAAAATAGCAATGAAATAAACAATCCAAATATAGAGTGAATTCAATGTGCTCAAAGTTGTGATTTTTAAGTGACCTTTATCCCTATTTTGGCCACTATTATGGTTTGTTTTCAGATTTTTTTTTTTTTTAACCATCAAGTGACATCTCAACTATGTGGTCATGGCTCAATGTTTAAAAACGACAGATTTTTGCTATAACTGACTTAAAGAAATATGAAAATGTTCACTTTTATGTCTTGGTTGTTCAAGAGTTAAACAAAGTAAATGCTATCCATATTTATTGATTCTTATAGGGTTAAGACATTTGAAATATTTACCCTAACTGTTTCCTCACCTGCCACCAGTCAGCGTTGGACTTCTTAAGGAGAATGAAGCGTTCACCTTCCCGAATGCAAACTTGCCTTCCGTCAGCACCACGATAGTTGTAATCATATTGGGCCTCGAGAACTACTGTGCCGCTGGGTACGCCGCACAGCGTCACCCCCCTGGTGTTGACCGCGGGCATCCCAGCAGGCTGCTGCTGGTGCCCCACTGAGCGCCGCCAAGTGCCAGAAAGCATGGTTCTTCTTCTCTGCTCGTTCAGCGAAGGGTGCACCGATGGTGGATGACGGCGATCCTGGTTGGATTACAACGGGCCTGCAACCTGGCTAGTTCCATGCTCTGGAAAAAAACACAAGGGAAATTGTAAAGTTACTAAAAACAATCGTCACGCTCTGACCTGGTGAGGTTTTTAGAATTGCAGTTTTATGGCTAGTCATCAAACCTCACTTGCAAAATTTGAAGTTGCCCGAAGTAAAAATAGGATCAAAATATATTTGTAGCAATCGGTCAAAATCTCTCAGAAATGGTTGGAAATATTATTAGATAAAGTATTGTATGATTCATGGGTGCCTGCAAGTTTTACCTTCATCAGTGACAAAGATCGTGAGGAATCGCAGCTGGGCACACCCAAATTCATGTAGCATGGCTCAAGAAGACTACAGTATTCTTCCTAAAGTGATGGGAGTGCTGCGGCTAACTGCTAGTTATTTTTTACTCATTGTAAGAGACTCGTGTATTATTTATCCAGAAACATTTTAAAATGGCCCATCGCTATGTATCAGAGACTGATATGACGGTCCTGTGACACGGAGAAGAAGCTTCAGATCGAAAGAAACTGGTGAGTAGAATGTCACTTTGCTAATTTTCTGAATAGATTTCAAAGACAATAAAGTGGAGCATGCAAAGTTGAACTCAATTGCTGGTTCAACGAGCTTTTGAGGGGTTGTTTTGAGTCCAAATTTTTCCAGGGTACATCCACATGCAAGAATCCGTGAGTTTTGGGGCGTTGTGAGGCCCCCAAAAAGTTCATTCTAAAAAAATTCGAACAAAAGTAACGACAACAAAAATAATGCTAGACGCCTGAAAGACCCCTGATGGAGAGGAAACGGAAAGGTGTCCCTCATTTATGTATTGATAAGTTAATTTGGGGCAGCGCTAATGGTTTGTCTGTCAACCTCAAAGTTGAGAGGTTCTGGGTTTGTATCTTGGCTCAGGCCCTACTGTGAGCAGTTCTCATCACAAGACTCCCCTTTGGCATCACTCGTACCTCTCTGTGGTGGCATGATATGATGATAGTTTCAACAAGCTTTGACATATGTGGTGTAGTTTCTAAAAATGTGGCTTTAATTGCAAATTTTACCACTTTTTGTGGTGATCCGACTTCGGATGGTGTACCTGTATGTAAATAAATCATGTGTTTGGAGAATTTCAAGGGATGCATCAGCCCAAAATAGCATCCGTATGCCTTTCCACTTCTACTGGCTGCTTACATAAGACCAGTCAAACTTTCTACCAGAAACATCACGGCTACGCACGCACGCACGCACGCACGCACGCACGCACGCACGCACGCACACACACACACACACACACACACACACACACACACACACACACACACACAAAGAACACAAGCCTACAGGGCCAAAGGTGGCATTCAAGAGCACCTCGCAACAAGGCTTGGTCCCAATCAGGCCCGATGATGCTGCAAGAAAATGAGGGGCATGAAGGAGAAATCCCGGAGAATTACAAGGCAAATGCTAAATTAAGACAAGATGGGGAATGAATGATGAAAAAAAAAAAGAGAATGTGAGTACATAGCTAAATCCGGGTGCTGTGTGTGTGACAGTAGTGAAATGGGCAGGGCAGGGTTCACTGGCTCAACCTTGATAATCCCACTGGTATTAAAACACAGCGATGAAGCAGTGAAGTCCTCGGCTGTTGAGAATTAAACTAAAACCCAACTGCACCGCAGTAATGGTAGTGGTTGGGTGGTTGGGTAGCACGAACTTTATTTGAAAAAGATAACATTGAAATATCATAATAGTAATAGTAGGGACTACAATGGTGCCTTGAGATGCGAGTTGACTTGAATGAGGCAAATATCAGTTGGTGACATAAGCGCGTTGAACCGCTTGAACAGGCATGCACCCAGCCCAGTGAAGCTTTATGGGACAGTCTCTGCAGATCAGAAAATCTTACAAATCTTTGATTCTCAGTATTGCTCTTCAATGTATTTTAATGAGCCGCAAAATGACTCGCAAGCTGCGAACGAAATCGCTATTTTGGAGCCTTGTCACACTGCCTCACTTGAATGGCCATTGTGGTCGGTCCTCTTTCCGATGTGCCGCCTTGGCCACCTGGGGATAGTATAACACAGAGAGATGGGTATACTGTTCATTAATATGTCTCAGCTCTTTTTAGCTCACCAACACGGAACTCATAGCTGTACTACACAGAGGATAAAGAATATATGATTTCTACATATGATGCTGCACCATTTGTGGCCAACCCTTGGCTTAAAGGGTGATGTCACAGCAATGGAGATGCAAGTTTGCAATAGAAATAAGATAACAGACTGAAAAGCTAAGCCTTACATACACAAAGTGTAATTCCTTGCTTTGTGTTGAGTTTGGCAGTAAATTTCAATAAACCACGTTAAGCCTCTTTTTGGAAGAACTGCTCTCGACTGACCAAAGTTCTGCTTATTGTTCACTTGAAGTGAGTTGATTTCACTGTCAGCATACAGCGCCCATATCTCAAGTTCACTAAATTTGTTTGGAAGCAGCACCTTTTGTTCATGTTATGTTCAGCGACAATTTTGTTGTTACACATTAATCCTGAAGGAAATATTTTTGCCTACTTAAAAAAATTGGGTTGATATTATGGGGCAAATCTTTCATGTGAAGTCCTACTGTTTTTTTTTCTAGCATGAGTAAAATCCCATTTCCTCTTACATTGGTGGTGGTGGTGTAATGCAGCTCGGGCCACACTTCTTGAAAATAAATAGATAAATAAATAAATAAATAAATAAATGCCGAAAATGTACAGGAATGCAAGCGCTTCTCACTGCATACAAACGGGAAGAGATTTTGTTAGCCAAAGTAGAACCGATTCAGGTCTAAATGTGCCAAAACAAGTGGATATTATAGAATGACACAACAAGTCTATGTGCAAATGCCTGTCACAAGTTTGCACACTTTGGCATCAGAACAACAGCACCTCAAGTTGTTGCCCAAGAAGGAGCCGGATAAGACTCAGCTTGTGAGCAATTACGTCATCGTCAATGAATCTACTACTTTGATAGCTTGGTCGTTAAAATGCCACATGCTTCTACATTTGTTGATTAAGATCCCAAAATCCATTAGAAATATAGTTCGCTCACATTGCTTTGACTCGAGACGAGATAATATGATCCTATAATTTCCTATGAGGGGGAATAGCACCCAAATCTGAACAATGCTTGAAACTAGGCAGAATTTGAATCGAATATGAAATGATTTGATTTGGTTCAATTCAAAGCACTTGCATATTTTAAATCAGCTTCATACGATGGAGTGAGCTCACATGGCCTCATACACCAAAATGCCGTGAGCAGTCCATATGGCAGTGGATGCAGACAAAGGCACTGAGGGCTTTTGCCAAAGGCTAATGGCAAAAGGATTATTTATCGCGTAAAGGCATCCGACCGAGCAAATGGAAAACGGGTGAATCAAACTGACGCCTCGGTTTTGAAGTGAACATAAAAAGGGATATTAGTAGGCTGTTAAACCAGCCATGCAAGTAAAGCAAATGTTCACTAGTAGTTATGGAAGGCAGTCAAATTGGGTAATAAAAGCATCGGTAGTGAAAGTAAACGAGCAGCAGCCCAGCTAATTGACTTATTGATCAGTGCGCAGGGCTGTGTCATGTGTCCTCATGTTCGTAAATCAGCACGAACATTATGTGTCCTACACGTGATTATCTAATAGGAACAATGCCAATCAAGGTTTTTACACAGACCCTGCAGCAAATCACCTCTGTACAATGAAAAAATATCGACAGTCTGAATCCGCCTCAAACCACTTGTATTCATTTGTAGGGAACTGCAGTCTATCCCAGCGGAATTTTGACGAGAGAAGTTCTGGACTGGTTGCCAGTCAACTTTACAATACCGTCAACGAACAACCAATCACACTGTAACTGACCCATTATAATTTTTGTGTGGATTATTTGTTTGCTTTGCTTTGGGGTGTTTGGTGCCACCCACACCAGAGAGTGTGTGGTAGTGGATGTCGATGGGGAGAAGAAGAGCTTAGGCAGGAGCGTGCGAAAGCAACAGGGCAACACATGACAGTGTTCAGTTTGAAAGAGGCAACGAGGAGAAAGAAGATAAGCCTAGTTCCCTGTTTTGGACATTGCACACAACCATTTTAACAAATTCCCCTACTTATTCAAAACCAAGATCGACATCATTCACACTCACTTCCCTAGTCATCCAGCTCTAGTTACAGAGTCAAATGGCTCACAGCCGACAGTACCTTACTCTTTCCAGTGTTACTCTGAGGTCTCACAAGGTGACATAGAATCCCCTATCAAGGAATTGAAACCAACCACTTGTATCCTGGAACCCCTTCCTACAAGACTGAGAAAATCAAATCTCTTTGCCATAGCCCCTGTCATAACTACAATAATAAACCTCTCCTTAAAATCATGTCCCCCCAGCATTAAAATGAGCTGTCAGCAAGCCACTTCTGAAAAAACCCTCCCTCCACCTAGAAGTCCAAGCCAATTACAGATCAATCTCTTACCTCCCATTCATTTCGAAAGTGCTGGAAAAAGTGGTTGCAGCTCAGCTTCACAACCATTTGAATGTATGACAAATTTCAGTCAGGTTTCTCTTCTGCTCACAGCACGGAAATTGCTGTGGTCCGTGTCACGAATGACCTTCTTATGGTAGCTGATGCCGGCCGGCCCTCCCTCCTCATCCTACTAGACTTAACAGCAGCTTTTGATACCTTCAATCACCTTTTTCTTCTTAAGCACTTCCATGAAGATATTGGGCTCCCAAACTCTGCTCAGGACTGGTTTACATCTTGTCTCTCTGGCAGGACCCATTTTGTTAGGATGGGAGTCATGGGACCTTCGAGGTCTACAACACTCACTCTCAGATGCGGTGCCCCTCAAGGGTCTGTACTTGGTCCAATAGTTATCATCTTGTCTATGCTTCCCCTTGGTTGTATACTCAGCCAGTAGGTCATTTCCTTCCACTGCCGATGACAAACAGCCCCATCATACCCCAAAAACTCCTCAGCCAGCAAACTCAACTGGGAACATATGCTCTGCAGACCAAAACCTCT